CTCTCTCTCTCTCTCTCTCTCTCTCTCTCTCTCTCTCTCTCTCTCTCTCTCTCTCTCTCTGACATAAATCTCCTTCCTTGTCGTCTTCGCCTTTACGCAGCAAACGATGTCCAAGCTGCTGCGGGTGTTTGAGGACCTGGTCTTGGATCACCCCGACACCGCATTTCCAGGTGCATGAAACCTACCTATTTATTTACGGAAAGCGTAGTAGATAGTAATGCACGGAGGCGTGACTCTCCTCTTGTATGAAGTAGCGCAGGTCTACGTTGTATCTTGACGTGCGCTGTCAGCAAGCGCGTACACGGCATTCACCGCTATTCGCGCATCCGTCGATACGCTTGCCTGGCGGCCTCACTACACGTTCGCACGTGTCAACCTGCCGGCAACTACCAAACTATGGCGACTTCTCGATACGGCCATAGCCAGTTTTTCCTAGTGTTTGCCGCCCCCCAACTTGGATTAGGACATCACCCGACATGTTCGCCGACAAGGTTATCGATGGTGCGTGTTGTTTATGACACCGGGCTTTGAAGAGCAGCGTTGGTCCAGGGATTAGCCCGTGATTTCTCATTTTCAGGCGTCTTGGCGTCTGAACAGCGTGGTACCCACGAAGGTAGTTCTACGCATCATCCTGTGTTTCTGTTTTGCTCATCGCAAGCTCGTCTGCTGTACGTTCGGAGTTTCGCACTTGACATGTGCTTGTAGCCTTAGTGAAGCATTGCAGCGTCCCCAAGACAGTCAGACGTCGCAGGCGACATGCAAGACAACCTGTGTAGCTGCCGCACACATTCTTCCACCCCATGTCTTTTCTTTGTTTCGACACGGCGGTGGTGATCATCAACGACCTAATCGCATGCCATTGCGTGTGCATATAGATGTTTCGAAAAAAAAAGCAGAATTACCAGGTGGTTGCTGTCTCAATCTGGACTTTTCATAGTATGTGTGGGTAGAGATGATGGGTTTGTTTTGTCCTAGATTTAACATTTTTTATTTCAAGTAAACCATTGACCAACCACCTCTCCCCGCGCGCGAAAAACAAAAACACAACCGGAACAGGTGAAGAAGGACAAAAGCTGCAGGAGGAAGTGTCCTCTCTGTGCTACCACCCCAAGTTCCAGGCCGACGCTGTCCTCATGAAGAGGCCCATTAGGACAAGGACCACCTCCGGCCGATCGTTCACGTTCTCGTCCAAGCAGCCCAAGCGGGGCCGTGAGGGACCGTTCGTCAAGGAACGCAACGACGTGGTGGAGAAGGGCTTGATCCCAAGGTACATGCGTGCGGTAGCCCGGCCGGGTGCTTGTTATTTGTTTGCGCCATGGGGTACAGTGGGGGGCCATTGCCGGTAAGTTCCCAAAGAAATGGAAGCACCGGCAGTATTCAAAGCGCAATATGACTCGGTGATTAACTGCGTGCCCGCCAGAAAACACCGGCACTAAACCGGCGACCGGCACTATTCAAGCGGCACTAAACACCCCCCCCACACACACACACCCCGGTGTTTGCCATCGGGGTTGGGTTGTCGTCGCTTGGCAACAACGTTGTAAAACAAGCCCCCCCCCCCT